TGTGTGTGTGTGTGTGTGTGTGTGTGTGTGTGTGTGTGTGTGTGTGTATTCATTATATAGTAGGGACTTGCTATTTCACCAGTGATTCATTTATTCAATAAACATTTATTAAGCAGCTGCTACTTCTAAGACATTGAACCCAGTCAGGGGATACAGAAATAAATCAGTGATAATCTCTTTCCTTAAGAATGATAAATAATGACCATAACAACAGCAATAAAGCGAATATTTGAAAAATACTTTCTATGTGCCAGATACTCACTTAACACCTTACATGCATTATCTCATTTATCTTTGTAGTAGGTCCTATTCTTGTTTTATGTATTTACCAAGGAGGAAAGTTAGTAAATAATAAAGCCAGGGTTTAGATTTAGGCAGCCTGGTGCCTAAGCTTGGGCTTGTAATCACCCACCACATCTCCTGTCATACACTGACCCAAAGGTAAACGGTGGGTAGGTAGAGTACTATGGGAGTTCACGGTGATCTATGAGGAGCTGGACACCACAATATCTTTAAAACCTTTAACACTTGACTGGGGTCTTATTTCTGGCATTGTGTGAGATTGACATCCTTGATATAAGTTCTCAATTTCTTCACTTATTCTTAAATTATATTTTTGGAGATGCAGATTTTTGAGTAAACTAGTAATTCTCAACCAATCATTAGTAACTCCTTTAAAAATACTATTATGAAATAGTTTAACATACAAAAAGAGCATTTTTTTAAAGATTTCACCTGTTTTTCTTTTTTAAAAAATTTAAGTATAGTTGATTTACAATGTTACGTTAATTTCTGCTGTACAGCAAAGTGATTCAGTTATACATATATATACGTTCTTTTTCTAAATATTCTTTTCCATTATGGTTTATCGCAGAATATTGAATATAGTCCTCTGTGCTATACAGTAGGACCTTGTTGTTTCAAAAAGAGCAATCTTAATGTCATTTTTACTTCCACTGGATATGAGGCTGAATTTCTTAACTGTGATTGTTTAAATTTATTCTCTCTTCAAAGAAGATAACATGGGAGATGTTGGGATAATCAAATAAATTTTCGTTTGGAGGTGGAAATACCTCATTAGTGACCTCCTGTCCAAAAATCACATTATTTGGGGGGCACTAAGGAAATTATTAATACCAGGTCAACCTCACATATAAACTAAGTTCTTACTAAATAGGTTTGAAAATTAAATGAAGAGGTGAGTATGTGTGTGTGTATGTTTTAAAATTTGCAGCTTCAAACCCATGTCACCAAGTTAACAGTGTCATTAATTTGATGTATGAAGTTGATAGTTAACAAGCACTTGATAGTAAGCAGTTAGTTATAGTATTAGCTGGGGGTAGGTTAACTATTATGTATACTGGCTTAAACATAACAGCAGCCTCGGGATTCCCCTGGCGGTCCAGTGGTTAGGACTCCACGCTTCCAAAGCAGGGGGCATGGGTTTGATCCCTGGTCAGGGAACTAAGATCCTGCATGCCGCGTGGTGCAGCCAAAAACAAACAAACCAACCAACAACCCTCCCCCTCCAGACCACAATAGCAGCCTCTTTCTTTTCATGCGAGAGTAACGGGCAGGTGAACAGAAGATGGGGCAGCCCTCCTCCATGTACTCACCCGGGGACTCAGCTGTAGGAGGCTCCACCATCTTCAATGCAGAGTCTCTAAAGTTTCCGGGAGTCATCTTTGTTCCAGCCCGACGGGGAAGAGGCCGTGGAGGGTTGAGCACGGGGAGGGGTTCTATGGGCCAGACCTGGAAGCTTCACACATCGCTTCCCTTCCCATCTCAGTGCCACACCCCAGTGCCAGGGAGGTGGGAAATACAGTCGGCTCTTGGCCTAGGAAGGGGAATTTGGATTTGGGTGAGGAGCTAGCAGTCTCTGCCACAGTTGTTAATAAAGAAATGGTTCCTTGGGGCTTCCCTGGTGGCGCAGTGGTTAAGAGTCCACCTGCCGATGCAGGGGACACGGGTTCGCGCCCCGGTCCGGGAAGATCCCACATGCTGCGGAGCGGCTGGGCCCGTGAGCCGTGGCCGCTGAGCCTGCGCGTCCGGAGCCTGTGCTCCGCAACGGGAGAGGCCACAACAGTGAGAGGGCCGAGTACCAAAAAAAAAAAAAAAAAAAGAAATGATTCCTCAAGAGGGGGTATCTTTATGTGTATGGCTTATTCATTTGGTTGTGCAGTGGAGGCTAACACAACATTGTAAAGCAATCATACTCCAATAAAAACTAATTAAAAGAAAGAAAGAAAGAAAGAAATGGTTCCTCTACCACGCCCCCATGAACACCATCTCGCAACTCGTCTTTTGAAACCCAGTGCTGGGGGTGAGATGCTTCTCATATTTTTTGGTGCTTAGGTTCATAAAAGTATTGTGTGACTTTGGCTAAAGAGATAAAGCTAACTGGAAACTATGCCTGAGGGGGAGCTAATGCAATCACATAAGGGGTTTGATAAGGTGAAGCCTGGAGAAAGGGGCAGCTTAGAGAGAAGTACCTGCCAGTTAAAGCCATTTCTCTCCCGTTCCTTTCTCACGTTCGCAGGGGAGGCTCTGAGAGTCTTCCTGGAAGCTCGGCCTCTGCTGCTCGGGGGTGGGGGTGGGGCAGTCCCCAAGCACAGTCGTTTGCTGTCGCTCTTAGAGGCAGGTGAGCAAGGTGGTACTGAAGGTGATGTCTGTGTTTTCAGGAAGCCTTGGAGTGGGCCATGAAGAACCATTTGTGGGGTCATGCTTTGTTCCTTGCCAGCAAGATGGACCCAAGGACCTACAGCTGGGTCATGAGTGGGTGAGTTGGGGACGTGCCAAGAAGACCAATGGAGCAGAGCGGCCTCCCCTCCAAAGGTGGAGGTGAGGGTGGGGAGAAATGCAAGATGCGCTGAAAGGCCCCACCCTCCAAGCATCTTTCCAATTCTAGGTTGGACGTAGCATTTCTCTTCTCCAGATCCTAATAAACTAGACACAGACACATTCTTTCTAGCTGGTAACTTGAATAAAACATTTTACTAATGTTTCCCAGGGTCAAAGTTTCCAAAAATTAAGTAGGTTTCTACATTGCAGTAGCCTTCTCTCTTTGGGAGGGTCTGCTCCGGAGAGTTCCATCAGTGAGGGGGTCGATCACTTAAGGGAAACTGACAGATCCTGACGACTGAGAGTTAGTAACTTCCTGCTTCGTCCTGCAGCACGGGTGTGGGTGCTGGGAAGTAGGGAGGGATACAGGGTAGCAGGACTGCAAGCTGTGGTAGAAAGGGGTTTATAGGACTGGGGATTAGATCCAGCAGTCTTCATCTACTGGGAGATGTCAAGACTGAAGGCATCCCTTCAGGTTACACTGGGCCACCAGGACCCAGGTGCCAGGGGGACCGGAAATAATACCCAAACCAGGACGAAATAGGAATGGAGGTGTGAGTACCTAGCCAGGAGTTTAGAACAAGGGCAATGAAACAGCTGAAGAGACTCAGAACCAAGTGGAGGTGGAGGTGTATGGGGTGCTGTAAGGGGTCAGCCCTTCAGGCTGCAGTTAGCATCCATGGACTGTCGGGGACAGATGTGTGGCAGGGGTGGGCTGGGGTGGGAGCCCTCCTATAAGGAGCAGCCTTGGGTTAGACGGAGAAAAGGATGGTACCTCAAAATTTATCTTCTCATGTTGGTTAAAGCCGCGAAGCTACCGTCTCTGCTTATCTTATATTTCAATCCCCCGTACATCCCATTGGGCAGAGAGTTGGATGAGAAAATGGACACCCACACTTTAAGTTCAGTCTGTGGGGCTAACGTCTGTCACTACCTGGGAGCCCATTCTTCACCATGGCTTCCATGAAATCTCTTTATTGCTCTGACCCTCGGTTTTCCCGGGGACTAGCGACACCACCACGTACTTCATTATGTTCAGAGACCGGAATGGTGAGAAGCACTGAACTTCTATTAGGAGAAGCACTCTGAGCTCCGGAGGAAAGGTGCTGTTAAAAAAAAGGTGGTGTTGGGCTTCCCTGGTGGCGCAGTGGTTGAGAGTCCGCCTGCCGATGCAGGGGACGCGGGTTTGTGCCCCGGTCCGGGAAGATCCCACATGCCGCGGAGCGGCTGGGCCCGTGAGCCATGGCCGCTGAGCCTGCGTGTCCGGAGCCTGTGCGCCTCAGTGGGAGAGGCCACAACAGTGAGAGGCCCGCGTACCGCAAAAAAAAAAAAAAAAAGATGGTGTTCCTAGGGATGAGTTTCCTTTGGGTTTTGGAAACGAACGTCCCACAACTCCACATTGTAGCATATATCTCGGCTACAGATTTTTGCCTTGGGCCATTGCTATCTGATGGGGCCCAGCGAATCATGAAAAATCTCTTAGTGAGTATGCTTAAACCTCAAATCAGCCATAGAGCTTATTATATCCTTGTTAAGCAGATCCCATGGTTGGTCATCAGTATGATCATTTCTGGTCCCTGCTCTACGCCTCTTGGGTTACTGAAAATGACGATATAGTGCTTGTGAGCAAAAAGCAGTAGAGACCCAGGCTAGCGATGAGCCCGGAAAACAGCACTGAGAGCTGTGGGCTTGGGGAGGAGGGCTGCTGTGGGGCAGTGGGCGTGGAGGGTGCCTGGGGAGGAGGTGCCCACCGTTGGGCTCTCAGGGGTCTTTGAAGTATTTGTGGCTCACCTCCGTGATGGACGGAGGCCTACAAAATAGTTACTCAAGAGTTAGGGAGTCAGTGCTGAAATGCCGAAGATCTTCCCCAGTAATGAGGTCTATTTGGCGTGTGTGGTGGGATGGAGATCCGAACATGGGATGGAGCAGAAGCACAACTGAAAAGAGAGACTCAAGTTCCGAAAGAAGCTGCTGCAACCAAGTACAAGTAGATGAGGCCTGTGCCTCACAGGCAAGGGGTTAGAGGCTCTCTTGGCTGGATTCCCACTGACGGACGGTCTCCTCTCTCTGCAGCTTCACCAGCACGCTGGCGCTCAACGACCCACTGCAGACCCTCTTCCAGCTCATGTCGGGAAGGATCCCACAGGCAGCCACGGTACCCTCTGTGACAGGACCCCCTCAACACCCCAGCACCCTAAGGGTTTAGGGGGTAGGGACTGCTCGGGAATGAGGCGATGGCTTTAGAGATGAAAAATAAGTAATTACTGTTGGTTAATCACCTCCCAGGTGCCTGGCCCTGTGCTAAGCGCTGTGATGCATGTTATTTCGTTTAACGCACGGAGGTAGGAATGATTAGCCCTGTTTTGCAGACGTGACGACTGAGTCCCAAAGGTGTAAAATGACCAAGATCACAGAGCTAAGAGTAGTGGAGTCAGGATGGGCCCGGGTCTGTCTGATTCCAAAGACTGTGCCCTTTCCACAATCCACCGCTACCCGCTGTGTGGCAAATAGCGAGAGAACCCGAGGCTGCTCTCCACGCTTCCCACAACCAGGCTTTCTTTCTTCCCCACCACTGCACGTGACCCTTCAAAGCTGGACATGTTAGATTCTACGTCATCAGCGTGGGATGTGGCTCAGGAGACCCTGAGGCCAGCTTGATAGTTTTCCCATTATAAGAGCGTTGATCTTTTTGTCCCAAGGTATTCCTTCCCTATCCTCAAAGTCCAATAACTTTACTGAGATATATCTTGTTGTTGACTGTCTGTGTCAGTTATTCGGGGATACAGCACGCTCTTTTAATATGTGCATCCGTATCTTACAGTTCCAGAGAAATTTCTTGAATTATATCCTTCAGTATTTATTTTGTTCTCTTATTTTGGTTTTCTTTTCAGGAACACCCTCTATACACAAAATATATATAGTTCATATATATATATATACATGAATTCTTTCTTTCTTCTTTTTTGCTGTGTGTCCATCCTGTGTGTCCCTTACTGTGTTTTCATCAGTGTCTCTTGGCTTCTGTGCTTTTTCCATTTTTGTCTTTATTTCTTTGATTTTTCTCCCACTTCTCTCCTGAGCTCTGCAGGTCACATTTACCTCCTCCTGTTCTCCACCATCTCTTTCCTCTGCTCCTGTAACTTAGCTTTAGACCCTTGCTTCATAGAACAAATTGTTTCATTATTTTACTTAAATTCATGATGAAATGTTTGGTGACAATTCTTTGTTTTGTGGAAACATTTTTCTGGTGAATGTTCTCTCTACCTTCCCCCCTCCTTTTATCTTGATGGTATATTTGTAGCGATTCTGTACTTGTTCCTTCATAGGCTTCAGGTCTTCCCTGGATGGGTTATTTATGGGAGGTTTGAGCTGGGGAGGTGCCAGGGCCATATTCCAGGGCAGCTGGCATTTCCGCATGACCTGGTGTTTTCTGCGAGCATCTTTGCTTCTCCTCAGCCAGTGGAGATGGCTGTGGGATCCCCTCCCTCTGGTATTCTCTCTGCCTCCTAAACCCACCTCTGTTCAATCTCCATTACTTTTGGAAGCCTTTTCTTGTGTTTAGAGGCTTGGATTTTTGCTGACACCTAGTTTCAATGAAAATGTACTTCACGCTTTTGCTTTTTTGCCTCTCTTATTGCTGTGGACAATTTCAAGAAAAGAAAAGAGAAATGATGACTTTCATGCCCCCTCGTCAAACCAGCTGGCTATACTGGAACATGGGGTGCACCTCACAATTCTGCCGAGGGCCTGTGCTCTGCAATGAAATTGCACCATGTCACAAAGCACTAAATGCAGGAAAAGATGTAATCAGCATACAGTCCATTGGGTCTCATTGCACTGGTAGAGTTTGCTAAATGGTCCCTACTCTTGGGTGAGAAAACCGAGGAGCCAGAGGTGATATTTGCAGTATGTGAGCCTAGTGTTTGAGAGTTTCCTAGCATTGTAGCATCCTGTAAAAGGCTAGACTTTGGTACTTATAATAAGAGGAGTAGTGGAAAAAGTATGGCAGCTGGAAAACACAGACGTGGGCTTCTGTCAGAGGCTTAACCTAGACTCTGCTCCTTACTGTTGTGGGAACTGGGCCCTGCTACTTAATCTCAGAGCCTCAGCTTTTCTTCTTTGTGGGCATTTTGATGCCTAACAGAGCTACTGTAAAAATTAAAGGGGAGAGAATATCTGAACATATCAACCACCATGCTTGGCCCACTGAAGTTAGTTAATAAGCGTTCTCTCTCTTCTCCCTCCATAGACCTGCTTTACAGTGATTTTTTTCCCAAATCGCCTGGGGGAGGAGACAGAAGAATTATTTCTAAGTTTTTGTTCTTTTAGCAAGGGCTTTTCTTTTGCTAGTCCCTTTAGTTTCAGCAAGAAAGAGCCTGGCTCACATGTTAAAATGGGGATAATAATAGTACCTAATGCACGTGACTGTTCTTAGGAGAAATGCTTATTAGCACAGGCTGTGGCCCAGGGTCAGGGTGCAGTAAGTGAGAACTGCTGTTATTATTGTGATTTATTGTCATCATCGGTCCTCATTCACACTGCATTGCCCAGATAAACAGAGTCACTATAAAATGGAGTCCGATAAAGCATCCTTTGTTCTATGGGATAATTACAAAGACAATACCAAATAACTGTGAATTGTTTTGACCTCCAGATCTTAGCTATTACTGTCAATCTCCTGCTCTATCTTTTCAGTATAACAAATTGGAGGAGAGACAGGTCTGCAAATCACCTCTTTCCTTTGCTGTGCTTCTGTGTGTGTGTGTGTGTGTGTGTGTGTGTGTGTGTGTGTGTGTGTATTTATATACATGTAATTTATAATGTGCAAACCAAGTGTAAGGCACTATGCTATGGGCTTCATCTAACTATATTATTATCAACAGTTATCCTGGGATGAAGTGAGAGAGTAGCATGGACATGTATACACTACCAAATGTAAAATGGATGGCTAGTGGGAAGCAGCTGCATAGCACAGGGAGATCAGCTCGGTGCTTTGTGACCACCTAGAGGGGTGGGATAGGGAGGGTGGGAGGGAGACGCAAGAGGGAGGGGATATGGGGATATATGTATACATATAGCTGACTCACTTTGTTATACAGCAGAAAGTAACACAACATTGTAAAGCAATTACACTCCAATAAAAATGTAAAAAAAAAAATCCTGGCAGGTAGACATCATGATCTCCATTTAAGAGATAAAGAAACAAAGGTTCAAAGACATAAAGAAACTTGCTCAAGAGGCAGGACCCCAGGTGAATCCAGGGCCCGTGTCGTTTCTGTGACATTGTGTTGTTTCCTTATTGATATTCCCTGTCCTGAAATTCCCCTTCATTCAGGAGAAGCGCGGCCCATCATTCGTGAGGGGCTTCTGCCTGCTCCCACTTCTCTGATTATACTCTACCGCCCCCTCGTGGAGCTCTGCTGCCTCTGCATGGTCACCAGAGGAAGGGGACACAGTGCTGGCTGGGCCACTTGGCCTGGTTTTCTCACTCCTCAAGAGGCGATAGGAATTAGAATTCACAGGGTTGTTGTGAAGATTAAAGAAGGTGATGTGTGAGAGACGGCTTTGGCTTTGTAAAACCAGAAAACGTTAGCCATTTGGTAATAGGTATCAAGGAGCCCAGTGTTCCCCTGTCTTCTAACTGGCTTCTAACTCTTCCCATGAACCAAGGGTATTTGATCCTCTGCCTCCCACTGAAACATCAGTTGGTTTTTTTTGATTTTGTCCCTAGCTATTGGGGTTAGGGGCACCAGGAGGAAATCTGAAAATTATGGACCAAGAGTGTCATTCCATTTATCTACTCCCAACGTCCCTGTGTGTGTGTGTGTGTATGTATGTGTGTAATGTGTCTGTCTGCCTGCCTATTCATCCTTCTAAGAGTTTTGCTTTTTTAAAAAGAGAACGCAAAATCAATGAGTGGCCACATTGCCGGCAGCATAATGGGCGTTCCCGGAAAACCAGGAAATAGACAACAACCTTCCTTACTTACCTATATTCTGGTCAGGGCTACATTACTCAGTCAATTTTCAATTTTTCTGCTGCTTTTCAGTGTTGTGGGGATGAGCAGTGGGGAGACTGGAGGCCGCACTTGGCTGTGATTCTGTCGAATGAAGGTGGGGACCCGGAGCTGTATCAGCGCACGATTGTCACCATGGGGGACACCCTGGGTAAGCAGACACCAGTTCCATCCCCTCCTCTCCTCTATTTCCAGGCCAGCTTTAACCACTCTGTGCTTAGATTCCTAGGTTCTGTGTTGGGCCCGAGTCTATGCCTCAGGCTTTCCTTTGACCCAGGAGCCTCCGTGTTTTGGGGACAGAAACTCCAGGGAGAAGGGTGTCCTTCTTGCCTTTCTGTTTCCCAGTTTTCCGCTGCGAGCCCGTGCAGGCCAGGCCCCTGAGACTCTGGGGTCTGCCACTGTAGGAGGCTCCCCTGAGTAGGTGATTCCTATGCCTGGGTCAGATTCCCGTGCAGATGGAGTTAACACATGGGGGCATCTCGCCTACTGTTGTTGTTAGTCCCGCGGTGACCCAGCTCAACCAGATAGGAAATTCTATTTTTGCCTGAACTACCCTGGGTAATCGTATAATCTTTATTTCTATCACCTCTCTGTGAATGTGGCCTCATAAACACTTAGGGGCTGTTAAATGTTCCAGATCAGTGGTTCTCAGATTTGGTCAAGGGCCAGAACGTCTAGAAATCATCGCTTTGTGGCACTTTGTGAAATACCGCTCTGCTAAACTTAAAATAGCTACGCGTAAGGTTGTGCCCAGTCAAATGGCAGGTTGTTCAGCACCTGGGTAGAAAGAGAACTAACTTTTGCCGAACCTTCTTGGGTGCCGGGCCCCGTGCTAGTTACTTTACCTATTTGAATTAATTCAATGTTGAGGTAATGGAAAATGTATGGGAGAACATTTTAAAACTGGGAACAATTTGGTAATGAATGTAATTTTTATGATCACTGGGAAAGGTCTTCTATTGTTTGACTTTAGCAGGGGAGGCATTAGTGCCCCAAGAAGCCTAGTTTAAAAACTGCTACTCCCAACGGCCAGCTTCTCTGCTCGGGTGTAGGCATTTCTACCCATTTCTCCCTCTCCAGAAGGACTAAAATGCTTAGAAACGTCCTCATTGAAAATCCATTAGGGGGAACGTGAAATAGTGCCTTATTCTGGCTGAAGAGAAGTGAAATAATGTCGGAGGCCAAAAATGCAGTAGGAGAGGGAGTGGGGTTTGGGGTCTGTGACTCGTAGTGTGAAAAGCTCGTTCCTTTATCCCCATGAGGCTCTCCGCTCCGACCCCCAAGCTCCTCTCCAGCCCTCGCCCATCCCCCCCAGGTGGTGGGTCCTCACGTGGGCGTGTTCCGTGACCGGGGCTTGTTCTCCTCCTGCAGCTGGGAAGGGGCTGGTGGAAGCAGCTCACTTCTGCTACCTCATGGCTCACGTGCCCTTCGGCTCCTATACCGTGAAGACAGACCACCTGGCCTTGCTGGGCAGTAGCCACAGGTATGCGATCTTCTGGGGGAAAGGGAGTGGGAAGGACATCTTCCAGGTGATTCGTTTAGCCCTTGCTGGGCTTCATGGCTCCATTTTCCATTGTCTTGTGTGAATTTCGGCCACTGCTGGTCCCCTCCTCTGGGATGGTTTTCCGCACAGGTAGGCTCTGGCGGAGGAGATGCCGGGTGGGTGCCGCATCACACCGCCAGGGGGCCTCAGGTCCAGGCCCTGCTCCGGGGAAGCTGTGAACTGGTGCCTGTGGGTTGCATTGTACCCCTATGGCCACTCGGTGGCGCCCTGGCTCCGTGATCAGAGAGTGACTCTTTAGAAAATGCTTAGCGGGAGCGCGGCGGCTTGAGCCTCTGCGTCAGGCAGCTCTGGACCAGTTCTCAGAGCCCGCCTTGGGCAAAAACCGAAAGTGGAAGACGTTTGTCTAGCCATCACACCCTACACTGACTTGGGGCACAAGCTACTCAGAGTCCCGCCTGTCATTTATTCCCTGCTGGCCGTAGTATTAGGCTTTTCACACAGAAGGACCTTAATAATCCCCTAGACAATGAATAAACGGACAAAAAGACCAGCTTGCTCTCTAGCTGCCCTCCACATTCTAGATCTCTCTTTCTCTTTCCCTGTAATAGTTAAGATTTCCTACGCTCTTACATTGTGCCAGCCGTTTTATTTGCACTATTTCCTTTAATCATTACACATTTACCCTGTGAAGAAGGTACGCTTTTAATCTTCACTTTATAGAGGAGGGAAACCAAGGCACAGAGAGGTTAAGTAACTTGTCTAAGATGGTACAGCTAGTGTGGGGTCAGGTTGGACTTGGAGTCCAGACTGTCAGGCTTTTCTTTGTAGAAACGCATCCTCTCATAGCCTGTCTGTCAAGGTCACGGTCTCTGATAGCACCTAGCTGGCTTGTCAAAGAGGCCTGTCTGGGCCAAATGGGACAGTAAGTGAAACGGTTTAATGTGTCCCCCTCCTATGTTTATATTGTACGAGGATGTTTCTGGAGATACAGTCCTGACCCCAGGCATAGCCCCTGTGATTATGATTTCAAACCTCACAGCAGCTGTTTTGGGACCCGTGAGGACTCTGAGGGCCCCTCAGATCACATTCACCCAGCCTGCTTCCTCACTGGAATGAACCTCCAGCACAGGGACCATCTTCTGATTTGGGGCTCCACAGTGCTACCCTCTCTGTGCCGGGCCTTCTTTCTTCAGTGCTTCCGAACATCACATCACTCCCTCTTTTCTGCTCTTCTGCTCAGGCTATGGTGGCCTCTCACAGACGCCCGCTCTGGGTTCTCAGGGCACTAAGGCTGGCTCTCAGCGTGCTTACGGGGAGGACCCAGTGCCCCACTGAGCTGGGTGTGAGAGCAGCTTGCCTTACGTGACCCTCCAGTAAAGATGGCAGCGACCTCCCCCTCCCCCCAGTCTCTCCCCCTCGCCTTCCCCCAGAGCCTCTCGAGGTGCAGATTCTCTTTCCATTCTTGGAGCTGCCCCAAGGGTCAGCCCAGGACAGAGACTCTACCATGAATGGATGCAGCTGGTGTTTGGCCATCTACTAGGATTTAAATCTGTCCCCACCTCAATCTCTTTTATTCTTATTCCCTGGTTTTTAGTCAAGAGTTTTTGAAATTTGCAACAACTGAGGCTATCCAGAGGACGGAAATCTTCGAGTACTGTCAGATGCTGGGCCGCCCCAAATCCTTCATCCCTTCTTTCCAGGTAACTGAACCCTCATGAGGCCACCACCTTAGCTGCGTCACATGGCTGTGGGCCACCGGGTTTTCCGCCTTGCTATCTGGCACGTAGTGGCTGGGCTAAGTCATCCACTGGACTTTTCCTCATTAGCTGGAATGTGGGAAGGGTTAGGATGTCTTTCTAGGTCCCCTAAAGGTTTGCATTTTAAGATAGGAAAGCAAGACGCTGCAGCAGCCTCTGTGCTGGGGGCTCCTGCCTCACTGCTGACAATGAGAATCGTGCCAGCAGCCCTGGGGCTCCCCCGCTGTCTGTAGCTCCCTCTGTTCTTCTGTCTCCAGATCGCTCCACTTCTCCTCAGCCCCACGGTCATCCTGCTGGGAGCGGGAGCAAGAAGACCCAACTGGGGTTCTTCACCCTTCCTCCTCTCCTCTGACCTGCCGCTCCCATCTCTTTTGGATGACTCTGTTTTTGTTTTTTTTTTTTTGCGGTCCGCGGGCCTCTCACTGTTGTGGCCTCTCCCATTGTGGAGCACAGGCTCCGGACGCGCAGGCTCAGCGGCCATGGCTCACGGGCCCAGCCGCTCCGCGGCATGTGGGATCTTCCCGGACCGGGGCACGAACCCATCCCCTGCATCGGCAGGCGGACTCTCAATGACTGCGCCACCAGGGAAGCCCTGGATGACTCTGTTTTTAACTCTGGAAATTCCTCCCTGCTCTGTCCTTGGCCCCCATCCTCCTCTCTTCCCCCCAGGGCTGCAGCTGTGCAGGTGGTGTCCACGCAGGTTCTAACCTCTCTTCTCAACCTCTCTACTGGATGCCCTGTTGTCCCCTTAAATCCATAATGACTCCTTCTGTGCCTGTATTGAGAGTGCACTCGGTGGCAACAACACACACACACATGCACACCACCACCACCAAACACAAAACAAAGGCTTGGAAATGAATGAATTGCTGCCTATAGGGCAATGACCCAGTTGGTATCTTCTTTAAGAGTTTTACCAAAGACCCACCTTCTCCAGCAGAGCCCTGCCTGAACAGCTCCTTTGGGTCCATGCAGGTCTTCAGTCTCTTTCTTTCTGTTCTGTAGTCATCCCACCTCTCAGCTGTCTTTGGACCGATAGCAGTGAGATTAGCTGTTTTTAGGGAATGAGTTCTACACGCCTGGAACTGTGTTATGGTGCTTTGACTGTATGATTTCTAATCCTGTGGTAATCCGGGCATGATTACCCCCCTTTTACAAGACAGGTTCCAAGGAGTTACATGCTATTGGCTCACATCTCTTGGGTACCATTTGTTCTAAGGACTTTACATGGATTATCTCACTGAATCTTTACAACAGCCAAGGGGTAGATCATATTATCATCCCCATATTATAGTGAGGAAACCAAGGCACAGAGAGGAGGTGGGGTAACTAGCTCAATGTGCCACACCCAGCATGGAGTTGGGATTTGAACTTGAGTCTGTCTGATTTCCAGCCCTCAAGCTCCATTTAGTTCTGTCACTCATGCTTCTCTGAGTCCTTACCTGTCTCTGTCTGTACACTCCCTTGGGCTTGAAGTCCCTTCAAGCACCTCAGTCATTTTTTCTTCTTTTATCCGTCCTCCTGGTGCCTGGTCCTGTGCCCCACATACACCAGGCTTCCCAGAGATGTGGGCTGCCTGATAAGAGTCCAGTGCATTTCCATGTTGCCCGGAGCCTAGGGAGATTCAGCTGATGTGCCTTCCAGCCCTTCCTCTATGAGGACGGAACTGCAGACTGGATTTGGAATTGTGCTCATACACAGATAGAACGCCCCAAATGGCACAAGGCCCTCTTTAATATTTGGATCCAGAGTTAGAGGAAGTTGGCAGTCAGCTGACTTCCAAGAAGTCTTATCTCCACTTCTCTCCTTCTGTCCCTGCCTGGATGGGCTCATCACTGGCCCTGCTCCTCTTCACAGGTGTATAAGCTCCTTTATGCTTCCCGTCTGGCAGATTACGGCCTTGCATCCCAGGCCTTGCATTACTGCGAAGCCATTGGCACAGCCCTCCTGAGCCAGGGAGAGAACAGTCACCCTGTGCTATTAGTGGAACTCATCAAGGTGAGCTTCTCAGAGGGTTCTCTGCAGGTGTGTTATCTTCAGCGTTCAGAGGAAGCTATTGTAAAGTGGCTCAGACACCCCATTTCATCTTCTTTGCACATGCTGTAAAATTGGAGCCCGTGGCTGTCTTTGACCACATATGCATGTCCAGATGTGATAAGCAGAGGCCTGACACTGCACAAAGAAGGATGCTATGGGCGGGGATGGCGGCGGGGAGGGACGCAGTGAAATTGGGGGACTGAAAACCAGGCATGTGCTATGCAGGACATTCATTCTTGCATCTGCTTTTTTGGTACAGTAAAACTGCCTGTTACGGTGAACTCTTCTAATGATAAAAGCTGGGCTTAGAAAATATATTTTAGGGGTTAAAACAGGAAATGATCCTTATTAAAATGCTTTTAAAGGCATGGAATATTTTATCACATGTGAGATACATTCAAAAAGAGAAAACAAAAACATATCAACCTTTAGTTCCTGAGAAAGAAAACCATCAGGCAAATAATTGTTCCAATTAATTGAAGAAAAATCCATTAGCTGAGAGTAAAAAGGCAGCCTACCGTCAATTTTTTCTTCGCTTTAGATGAGGCCCAGTGTTGGATTCTGTAATCAATAAAATCTGCGGGACTGAGCCCCCTTCATGGCAAATTTCTGCCAACAGGATGATGGTTGTAGGCAGCTCAGGACCCAGAATGGAGGAGTAGGGAAGTCTGGGAACTTCATGATGGAATAGCCTTACGATACAGGCAGTCCCTCGACCAGCAGCACAGGCGTCTCCTTGTAGGGAGCTTGTTAGAAATGCGGAATCTCAGGTCCCACAGATTTCTGGGATCAGAACCAGCATTTTAGCAAAGGTCCCAGGTGGTTCCTACTGGGCTTGAAGCTTGAGAAGCGCTGCTCCTGAGGGCAGCCTTGCAGAGACATAAAGCAGAGTGACAGTTTCTTCCCTGTTGCTCTCCTCCTCCCCTGTTGCTAGTTTATTTAGTGTCTAGCAACAGGAGGGGTTAAGTGTTGGTTTATGTTGCAATTCGGGGAAGATATCTGCTGAATTTGCTGTTTGGCAATTCTTTGTGATCTGGTTTACGAGTCAAGGCTCCCTTCTTTCTTCTTACTGCCTCTCCCCGTGGTCTGTCCATTTCACTCACTTCTCTCTCTCCTTTTCCCTCTCTTACCATCTGGAAACCTGGTACAGCTTGCAGAGAGACTGAAGCTGTCAGATCCTCTGGTTTTAGAACGCCACCGCCGTCACCGAGGAGACAGGGACCTGGAGCCGGACTGGCTGGTACACCTTCGGGGGCATCACAAGGAGCTGCAGGTAAGTGGGGGGCAGGTCAGCAGGGTGGGCCTCTGTTTCCCTCTTGTCTGCCCTAGACCCAGAGTAGGTAGGCATGGAGGGCTCTGGGGGTCTCCTGTCACCCATGAGGCACAGCCTGATTGGGAAAGGGGTGGCACTCAGCTTCCCCGCTGCGCCCGGGTGGAAACATTTTCCTGTGTTTGATGGGAGACAGTGGGGCCCTCTTCCAAAGCACCCAGCCACCCTTCTCTGTGGTCCCAGAAAATACATTTTCTGACCATCAAAGCTTCCATCTCTCTGTGAGGAACAATGGCTCACAGTGGCCCTTGTCACTTTCATGTAATGTAGGGCAATTGCTTAAAAGACTTCTGGGCCTTTCCTTTTTTTGTTCTGACAATTGCAAAAGCGGCAGGTAGTAACTGTTATACAGTAATTGGAACAGGGCCTCCTCCATGTTGTTTCTCCCTCTGTCGCTGAGAAAGGGCAGGGGGATTTTTTTAGGCACACACGGCCCGTGCTTCCTACATGTGCTGTGGGCTCTGGGGCCCACGGTTTCATTCCCTCCTCTTGCCCCTTCCCCTGGGAGAGGATGCTGCCCTGGTTCCTGACTGCTCTGGGCAGAGCTGGGAGGTAGGAAGGGCTGAGGCTGCCCCTCCCCCTCCCCCTCCCCCTCCAGCCCCTGCATTCACCTGCGACTCCCTTACCTTATCACTCCTGAAGTTTCTTTTCTGACTTAATTTTAAACCGTGGTTCAGTGTTTTTGTTTTTCTTTGTGTTGCTTAAGAGGTGTTTACTTTATCTTAATAGCAAAAGGTAGCAGGAGACATTGGGGATCCTTGCTCTGCTCACTCGGATATTTTGGGAGCCAGAAAAACAACAGGTACCCAAACCAATGAACTGAATGTGTAATAGCTGACTCTCAGGATCTGATTAGACGAGATAACGCAACCTAAAAGACTCTCCCCCTTCCCTTCCTGGAGTGCCTTCCTTGCCTGTGTCGATCTGACTCAGTGGTCTGGGCCCCCCCTCTCCACACAGCTCTGCTGACCACAGGCATCCCTGACACTTTTTTTTTCCTTTTTTAAATTAATTAATTGATTTATTTTTGACTGCGTTGGGTCTTTGTTGTTGTGCGTGGGCTTCAGTAGTTGTGGCACGTGGGCTCCGTAGTTGTGGCACACGGGCTTAGTTGCTCCGCGGCACGTGGGATCTTCCCAGACCAGGGCTTGAACCCGTGTCCCCTGCATTGGCAGGCAGATTCTCAACCACTGTGCCTCCAGGGAAGCCCCCGTCCCTGACACTTCTGTTTCTGCATTATTAGAGGTTTTGCTTCACATTCAGGTTTTAATCTTGTTATGTTGTGTTGTTATCTAATTGCTTCACTTGTGTCAGTACTGTCTCCCTAGCTGAATACATTCTTTGAGGTGGTGGGTTATCTGTATTTCATGTTAGCGGTGGGGACATAGGAAGCGCATAGGAACGGTGTTTGAGCATCAGTTGCCGCACGCATGAAATAGGTTTCAAAGTGTTTTCAACAGACCCCTCCTCTCCCTTCAGGATGCCTCTGAGTGTTGGGTTGGGCAGACGTTGTTACCCCAGTTAATTCTGTGCCCTTTCCCCAAACAGCACTCCCTGGTGGGGTCAGGATGGGGCCTCATCTTTTTACTTCCGGCTGTTTCCCAGCCTTTTTCGCTTCCTTCAGGGATAAGCGAGGGGGCAGCAAGGAAGGGCAGGCCTTGGTTTCTGTTTCCCAGCTTTGCTGCTGCATCCCAGAATCTGGGAGGGTGAAGGGCTGCAAGAGAGCAGGCTGGGTGTTTCTGAGTGGCCACTTCCGCTGGGAAGCAGCTGTATCTCCTGTCACCCAATGGAGCAGGTGGGTCAGATGACCACACCAGTTCCATAACCTTGGGGCAGCCATTGTCCCCGTCCACACCTTGGTCTGTCTCTTCAGCAACACGGCAGAGCCAGAATGAATACCACCAAGGTCCCTTCCTGGGCCAAGGTTCTGCTTCTTTAAAGCAAAGCCATCATTTCTGTAGTCTGATTTGGGTTTTAACTGGCAACGTTCTAAGTTTCAAGTACCTAGTCCCTTAGGAGATCCTTAAAAGAGAACGTTTATCCAAATGCAAAAAATTGTGGAGTTAAATGAGATGGTAATTTCTGCCCTCCCAACCCGCTGGCTTAAGGCTCAGAGATCATACAAGGTAGTGAGGGAAATGGTTTTGTAAACTCTGAGTCATCAGTGGTGAGAGGTGTTACAATTACTGCTGTGTTGTACTTGTCATCACATCGATGGCAGCCACACCAAGTGGCCTGTCCTTGTCACTGCTTTCCAAAGGGCGGGATTGTTCCTGGTGTGATTAGTCCACACAAGTGCCACGTTACAGGTCTCACTTCCTCCTCTTTGCCCTATGTCCTTAGATGACACTTTCTACCAGGATCTTTCTGGACATCAAGGCAACTCAGAAGCCCTTGGGGACCGCTCAGCCCTGTGGCCAACACTGGAGCCGATGGGCCCGGCCCAGCCCAGCCCACAGCAGCCCTTTCCCCTCCAGCCCAGCTCCTACCCAGCAGGAGGAGGTTCCGGGCAGACGGGGGTCCCGGTGCCTCTTTACTCAGTTCCTGAGGCCCATCTGCCAGGGACCGGTGGCAGCGTGGCAGTGACAGGGACTCCTGGAGGAAGGGCCTGGGAGGAAGCCCAGCAGATGCACCCGCCCCCCGGTAAGACCTGCCAGCGAGGCAGCGAACTTGGGTGACAAGGTATCTAGGGGTGCAAGCAGAAGAGGGAGGTGCAGGGACCAGTGCAGGGTGTGGGGTGGGAGCTGGTAAAGCCCTGAGTGGTGGGTGTGCACATGACTGAGGGCCTGGTACTTCACGTTCTTCTGAGGGAGACGGCTCTCTCCCAGTCCAGCCCATGTGTCTACTGGGACAAGCATAGCACAGCCAACCGCAGCCACTCTTGCCATCCCCTTGGATTCTGTAGTTTCTAGGATCTCGGCTGGAGAAGGCAAGGAAATGCCACCTGTGCCTGGAGCTGTAGTTTAGGCCAAGTCCTCTTTCTGAAGTCATCAGTGTCAGGGACCGTGGGCAGAGGCTTGTGCTTCTGTCTTCTCCCATCAGACCTTGGACAACAGGGGCCGAGTATGGGTGAGCATTGCTGAGTGATGCCAGGGAAGTGTGGGAAACCACGCAGAAGGATCCGATCTTAGAGCTTCTAAGACAAGGTCCTGTCCAAGATGGGAGACTCACATGGAGGGGAAGGTCAGGGAGGATCCCTGCGATCCAGCTTGATGTGGCCCTGATTTCCGGGGTTCCTGAGGAATGACCTTGGTTCAGGGTGAAGGTTGGGTGAGCAGCATGTCCTGGGGTGGCTGGAATTCAGAGGCTTGTGCAAATGGACTTTGCATTTACTGCGATGCACTTGGGGCTATGGGCTCAGAGCTCCGGCTGCTTTGCAGTTAGGAAAGCCAACTGTGTCCCCATTACCCTTCCTCAGGATAGATGGGAAAGGCCCCACTTCACATCACGATTTCTGTTGTGTTTTGTGCCATAGGAGAGAACACAGTGTCTCCAGAAACCTTCCAGCATCCTGATGGGCAGAAGGTTGTTTCCAAACCGCAGGTGAGAGGACAGAGCCCAGCAGATGCGGTGCCCACTCTGAGCTGTGGGTTTCCTTCAGTTGCCATGGTTTCACAGATGCCTTCCTGTGCCTTGCACCAGCCCTCTCTTCCATGTTTCACCTTGTTTCTTTCTACACCAGATCCTGCGAGGTGGAGAGGAGGCTTGTTCCGGTTCATGTTCAGTCCTGCCAACCTGTATCCATGGGGGCAGGGCCGGCAGGGCTGGGTGTAGCTTTGAGCTCACACATCTGCTCCCTCTGTTGCTCTCTTCTTACTGTTGCACCGAACACTTGCTGTGATCTGCCCCACCATGGAAGACTCTTGATATTTCTTTCTTCCTTTTAATTTTTACCTTTTAATTTTTACCTTTATTCCCAAGAAGGACCTACCGCAGTTGTATCTCTTCTGCCCAGGTGTGCCGTCAAGTCTTGGAGGGAACCACGTCTAAGTAATCATCCAGCCAGCTGTTGAATGAATGAATCCCTTCCCTCCAACAGCAGGCATTGCTGGTCCCAAATGTGCCTGGCTGGAGGCGAACTTCCTCAAGTCATAACCGGGCTGCAAGGCTTAAAACACTTTTATACTTTACTTTTTTTTTTTTTTTCCTAACTGAAAAATTAGTACGTTATTGTTATAGAAAACTTGAAAGATGAAGAAAAAGTGTCATATAAAGAGTCAAACAGACATCACTCAGAAGCCCATAGTCAAATATTTTCGTTATTTCCTTCTAAAATTTTTTCTATGTACGGGTTTCTCCTGCTATCCGAATGTAGAGCCTTTCCATGAAACCTTTCGTACGTCTCAATGGCATGAAGGGAAGAAGCAGTTACCTCAGTACACATCTTGCCAACAACGCACAAAATAAATCGAAAGGAAGTACAGGTGCTCACAGATACAGCTCAAAGCTATGGCATCTTGATGCGGAGATGCTGAGCGTAGTTTCTGGGAAGGAGCTTGGCAGGCCACTCTCGCTGCTTGGGGTACGCTCTGCCTCTATAACGGCTCCTACAAAACAAACGCTGAATGCTTTTTTCACTTTCTGCCTTTTTTTGGTAAAAGTGAAAATCCTCTTTGGACTCTTTTTTGGTTAGGGAAAACAGGTAGTAATGTAGGTCTTTGGTAAAAGCGAAGTGGCATAATGCCAACTTTCAAAAAGTGGGGGAGACCTGTCTGTGTATATACGTGTGTCTATAAATGTGTATACATACGCACATGTGTTTTTAAATGGTTAAGAACGTATGTAGGTGAAACTTTATTTTCTATTTATTTAATACTATAAAATTGAGATTTTCCATGTCATTCCTAAACAGGATTTTTAATATTGGTGTGAGAAAATCCATTGTATGGAAATACCATCACTCATGCATTTATTCATTCACAAATACTGAGCTCCTACAACATACCTGGCACTGTTACAGGGGCTGGGGGTACACAGGGAAGCAGACAAAGCCTGCCCTCCTGGGGCTTCTGTTCCGTGGAGGTGACTGCAAATAAACCACTGTGTGCATGAGGGATGTTACTTTACACGGAGTGGAAGGGAAGGCATCTCTGAGGTCAGCATGGAGGGTGGACAGAAGCCAGGTGAGTATTCAGGGAACAAGTGTTCCGGGCAGAGGGAATAGGGAGAGCAAAGGGCCTGTAATGGGACTGACTTGGAGCAATCGAGGAAGAGCATGGAGTCACTGTATCTAGAAAGTGGGGAGCAACAGGGGAGCGGGCTAAGAAGCAAGACCAGAGAGGCAGAGAGAGACTGGGTCATGGAGGGCCTGGTAGGCCCTGGAAGGAGCTCAGATTTTAATTCATCTTTTCCCCCTTGTTAAAACCCTTCAAGTGTGTCTCTTTTCTTTCCTACTCTTTCTCACTACTCCTCCCTTCTCTTGCCCTCCTATGTAAAACACAATGATGGACATTCTAGTATATAAGCCCTTGTCTCTTCCTCCAATTTATTCAAATAGGAGAAATTCCTAGAAGGAGAGTCAGACTGCTTAAGTTTAAATCCTTGCTCTGCCGTTTACTAGTTATGTGACCTTAGGTTGCTTAACCTTTCTTTTTTTTATAAATTTATTTATTTTTGGCTGCGTTGGGTCTTCGTTGCTGCACTTGGGCTTTCTCTGGTTGCTTCGAGCGGTGGCTTCTCTTGTTGCGGAGCACGGGCTCTCCCCACTACTTTACTGAGCAGGTCAGGTGAGGGAGTACGTGTAAATGTGGCTTTGCAACCTGTCAAGTGCTATAAAAATGCTACTTCTGGGCTTCCCTGGTGGCACAGTGGTTGAGAGTCCGCCTGCCGATGCAGGGGACATGGGTTCGTGCCCCGGTCCGGGAAGATCCCATATGCCGCGGAGCGGCTGGGCCCGTGAGCCATGGCCGCTGCGCCTGCGCGTACGGAGCCCGTGCTCCGCAACGGGAGAGACCACAACAGTGAGAGGCCCGTGTACCAAAAAAAAAAAAAAAAAAATGCTACTTCTGCTTTCTTTAATCTCAGGTGCCACTGATTCCCAGAGCACGAAGTATTTCTGAGAGTTCCACTGTATCAGTCAAGGAGGATGACGGGGAGTCCTCCGATGAGGCAGAGAAGAAAAAGTCTTCCGAAAACACCGCCCAGAGAGGAAAGCTCGGAGACGCGAAGGAGAATACAAAGGTGGAGGGATTCTTCTGTTCCCAGATAGCGGAGCAGAGCTGGGAATCTGGGCTTTGGTGGTGCCCCTGCCCCTCCTGTCTCACCAGCATCACAGGTGGGGGAGGCTGGCTAATCTCATATTCAGAGGGAGAAGCAACCCTGCAGGCCACAGAACTCGCCCTCCTCCCTCCAGGGCTTGGGGTTTGGCTGGCTCAGCTGGTTTCGCCCGAAGCCCGCCGGCGACGCGCCCCCCTCTGGAGATGAGGACGCATCTGACAGTCCTGACTCTGAGGTAACCTGGGCAGGGAGGGCGCGGAAGTTCCCCCTTCCAGGGGCCCTAGGAGGTCTGGAGCTGGCATCGCTACCCTGGGCCAGGTGAAACAGGTTGAGTGATGGAAGATTGTGGGAAACAAATTGGTCCAGTGAGGGGAAAGGCAGATGATGAAAGACCTTAGAAGTCAGGATGAAGAATTTTAACTTTCGAGGGCCAGGAGTTAACTTGGATCATTGAGCAGAGGACCAGCATAAAGAAAATGGAACTTGGGGGAGAGAAGGCCAGCATCTGGCCGCCATGTGGGCCCTGCAGGAGTACAAGCAGGCAGCACCGGTTTATTTACCGTCAGCGACACCTTCCTTTCTGCACTAAGCAGGAAGCCCCTCGAGCATCTGCTTCTCCCGGGCCCAGCCCGGGCCTCTCCCCGACGCCGCCCCCAGCTCCCCAGTCTCTGCCGGACGCTGGCGCCTTCTCCAGGGACACAGGTACCGCCAACCTCATGTCCTCTGGGCTGTCTGTGGTCCTCTCTGCACTCCCTGGGGGCGTGGGGGTGCCTTCTGGGAGTGGGGACTCCTCTGTCCCGAGCAGCGGGAACACCCCTGACTCATTGCTTCCTAGGTGGCAGTGAAGCCCGAGGATCAGCGTCCGGGGCGGGGAGAGCCGAGGGCACGGGGAACGGAGGCTTGTTGGGACCTCAGGTGAGCAGCCCACGAGCCGCCTCTGTGCGGACTGAACTTTCACGTGGGCTGCAGGTGCCGCCCTGTGAGGGCCTGACTCGTGGAGGATATGGAGAAAGCTTCTGTATTAGTTTGCTAGGGCTGCCAGAACGAGGTATCAGAGACTGTGCCATTTAAACACCAGAAACTTACTTCCTCCCGGTTCTGGAGGCTGGAGGTCTGAGATGAAGGTGCCGGCCGTGTGGGTTTCCCCCACAGCTTCTCTCCTTGGCTTGCAGCTGGCCATCTTCTCCTTGAGTCTTTACATGGTCTTACCTCAGTGTGTGTCTATGTCCAAATTTTCTCTTCTTATAAGAACACCAATCATAATGGGTTAGGGCCACTCTAATGGCTTCATGTTACCTTAATCACCTCTTTAACTTTTTTTTTTTTTTTTTTTTGTGGTACACGGGCCTCTCACCGCCGTGGCCTCTCCCGCTGTGGAGCAGAGGCTCCAGACGCGCAGGCTCAGCGGCCATGGCTCACGGGCCCAGCCGCTCCGCGGCATGTGAGATCTTCCCGGACCGGGGCACGAACCCGCGTCCCCTGCATTGGCAGGCGGACTCTCAGCCACCGCGCCACCAGGGAAGCCCCCTTAATCACCTCTTTTTAAAATTTTATTTATTTATTTAAAATATTTATTTATTATTATTTATTTTTTTTGCGGTACGCGGGCTTCTCACTGCTGTGGCCTCTCCCGCTGTGGCGCACAGGCTCCGGACGCGCAGGCTCAGCGGCCATGGCTCACGGGCCTAGCCGCTCCGCGGCATGTGGGATCTTCCCAGACTGGGGCACAAACCCGTGTCCCCTGCATCAGCAGGTGGACTCTCAAACACTGCGCCACCAGGGAAGCCCTTAATCACCTCTGTAAAGACCCTGTCTCCAAATACATTCTGAGGTGCTGGGGTTAGGACTTCAACATATGAAGTTTGCAGGGAACAGGAGTTAGCCCGTAACTGCTTCCTTAGGTGATGTCTAGAGAACAGCCTTGGGACTTCCCTGGTGGTCCAGTGGTTAAGACTATGTGCTTCCACTGCAGGGGTCGTGGGTTCAATCCCTGGTTGGGAAACTAAGATCCTGCATGCCATGTGGCATGGCCAAAAAAAAAAAAAAAAAAAAAGAGAACGGCCTCTTTCCCTGTCCCAGTAGGAGCCAGAGTTCACCAGTATCCTTGGCAAGGGCTGTGATAAACTCTTGATGAATCGTCCACACCAGGATGGATTTCATGCCAACTGCTAGGAAAACATGTTTATTTCTTGTGGCCTGGTTACAGCACTCTTGTAGTATTCCAGGTCTTTCAAAGAATAGGAGGTTACTTTTTATGATGCTATTAATACATTTATTATGGCCTTTTCTTCTCATGCAGCAGCACCAAGGCTCTGCAATGCCACCCTTGACCCAGGGGTTGGCTGTGCCCACTTGAACCACGTTTGTTTGTTCAAGATTCCCTGAGCTCTATCACATCTGCATCTCTTGACCAAAGTTGATGCTCAGGGAAGCCCTTGATGTTCTGGAATCTGGGGAGTGGTGACTAAGAGGATTTTCCATTATTTTCCATCACAGGGTGTTTCCTCTGGGCTCTACTTCAACCCTGGTGTTCTGCTTCCCCCACCCACCTTGAAAGGGGCTGTCCCTCTCTACAATCCATCCCAGGTCCCCCAGGTAAGGAGGCCCTGAGGGAGAGAGGTTAGGAGCATGGGTTCTGGATTAAGGAGACCCAGGTTTATATCTTACTTATAACAAATTACTGTGCCTGAGTTCTTGAGCAATGACTAACCTCTCTAAGCCTCAGTTTCTGCATCTGTAAAATGGGGTTAGTAGTAGCTACCTCAGCGGGTAGTTGTGAGAATTAAACCGGAGCATGTATGTGAAGGGCCTGGCACTCAGAAAATGCTCAGTCAATGTCACTATTATTAATATTTCACTTGACCTTTCGTAAGTCTTGAGACTCAGGAGAGACAATTGGTGTTGGTGTCAATGGTGTGGTTGCACCAGGGCTGTGTCCTGGGGGCAAGGGGATCATTGCAAAGTTTGATTGAAGCTAAACTCCCTGCTTCTGCGTGATCTGAGGCAGACTGATTGTTCTGATGCATTACTGGCCTCCCTTCTATATAAAGTTGAATTTCTTTCTCCTTATTTAAGAGGTGAAGGTGTTGGGTGAAAGCAAATACTGAGAACACCACCATGGGAAGCCAAATACAGCAGAAGGGTTTCTAGACCCTCAGGATGCCCAAGCTCAATCCAGCCAGTCAGCCCTGGTCGGAGTCATGCTTGGGGCTATAATCTAGTGCCACGCTTGTTCTTTTCCAGCTCTCCATGGCTACCAGCCTGAACCGGCCAAATCGCCTAGCTCAGCGCCGCTATCCAACCCAGCAGTGACGAGAAGGACCACCCATCCCAGGCTGGTCTCCCTGAAGCACAACTTTTGTGTTGTTCTCGTTTCTTAATCTCCCAGCCCCTCTGCCACATCAGGGCCCCCAAGAGGGTTGTGCTAGCCTGTTGCCTCCATGGGACATAGAGAACGCAAGGGGACAGGGTCTCCCAGGACATAGCTCAGTTCAGTGTCTTAAGATTAGCTTCAGAATGATGGTGCAGACGGCTTCATCAGATGGAAAAACTGGGCATAACAGCAGACTGGAGGTGAGCAGAATGCTGTGGCAGCAGCACTTAGAATGTGGCTTGAGATCCTCGGGAGATTCAGGGCCTAAGAATCCCACTGCTGGAATCAGTGATGACACCACTGGGCTCAGCAGCAGGAAATGACTGGGGGAGAGGCACTCAGGGCAATATTCTAGACTAACTTGCACAGGCTCCGGACACGCAGGCTCAGCGGCCATGGCTCACGGGCTCAGCTGCTCCGTGGCATGTGGCATCTTCCCGGACCGGGACACGAACCCGTGTCCCCTGCATCGGCAGGTGGACTCTCAACCACTGCACCACCAGGGAAGCCCTAGACTAACTTTGACTTCTTCCTCAGCCTTAGTTGCAGACCAATTCTTGGCTCTAGTTAGCAAAAGAGTTTTGAATCTCGGAAATTTATCATTGTTTCCCGTCATCATTCCCTCTTGGGTGACATTTTGGCAGTTTCCCTCTTGGTTTTAGTTTTGTGCACATTTTTTATGTGGTTCAGATTAATTATATTTCTCTCACTTTCTTAGCTGGTCCTATTTTTCCACATTCTGGCATCTGGCTATCAAGTTAGATTGCTGTAGGCATCATATTGTCATGGTAACTACTGAACCTAATGATGCAGATGGATGGAACATCAGTGTAATAAAGGATGGAAAATGTTCCCTAAAAATTCACTCCTTCCATAAGAGAGGAGGAATGAGTGCCCGAGTTTGTTAATACCTCCCTTCCTGCCTTGGGCCTTTGCAAATGGATGTTCGGAGGGTCAGAGGAGCCGGAGGGAGGAGGGGGACATCTTGGAAATTTCCATTTCTCCTTTCAAACCCACAATAGGAGTAACTCTTGCGTTTGTCAGATTTGCTGAAAATTATTCCTCACAAAGAACATTCTTTGTATGTGTAATTGTACATACAGGTTTTGTACTTTAACGTAATATGGTTCTGATGTTGATAGCGATTAAACCACATAATTTTATAGCAGATGCTTGTCTCCGGCTGGTTTTTGCAGAGGGAGAGAGCACACTGAGTGGTCTCTTCCCTGAAGTCTTTCTAATAATGGTTTCATTGTGTGATAGGTGCGAACAGCTGGTAAAAGCCCTTTGTTAATGAAGAATCTAGGGAATGATCCTCTTAACTTCTAAGTCTACTGCTATTTTTTCAGTTAAAAAAATATGGACAAAAGCTCCTCTGATGCAAATTGGTTACTCTGTTAACTAAATATTGCATGTTCTGTTCTCTAAAAAGTTTATTCATCTCTCAGATTAAATTGGGAAATGTGTGCACCAGTGTTTTGCATCTAGAAGGCCCTCAGTAAGTGCTGTTCCCTTTTTCCCTAAAAAAGACTGCAGCCCCTTCAGTTTGGTATGCTGACACCCAGTGGCGGTACCATGTCAGTAGTTTGTGAGTTTCATAGGCACCAAATTGTTTAGACTTGAATCCTGGCTCATCCACAGTTCATCTTGTAGTCTTGGACAGGGTTATCTAACTGTCCTGTGCTTTAGTTCCCTCATCTATAAAATGAGGATGATAATTACAATAGTACCTACCATATAGGGACAGTGCAAGAATTAAAGGAGTCAAGCTCTTAAAAAAGTACCTAGTACATGCTAAGCATTTTATGTGTGTGTTTTAAAAAAATTATTAGTATATAATCTAATAAGTAAAATTGCCTTATCTTGTTGCCTGTGATATTAAACTGTGGATTTTTCATTCTTTTTTTTAAAAATTATATTTTTGAAGTATAGTTGATTAATTCCTATTGCACAGCAAAGTGATTCAGTTATACATACATACATTCTTTTTTAATATTCTCTCCCATTGTGGTTTATCACAGGCTATTGAATATAGTTCCCTGTGCTATACAGTAGGACCTTGTTGTTTATCCATTCTGTATATAATAGTTTGCATCTGCTAATCCCAAATTCCCAACCCATGCCTCCCCCACTCCCCCTCCGCCTTGGCAACCACAAGTCTGTTTTCTGTGTCTGTGAGTCTGTTTCTGTTTCGTAAATAAGTTCATTTGCGTCATATTTTAGATTCCACGTATACGTGATATATGGTATTTGTCTTTCTCTTTCTGAATTATTTCACATAGTATGGTAACCTCTAGGTCCATCCATGTTGCTGCAAATGGCATTACTTCATTCTTTTTTATGGCTGAGTAGTATTCCATTGTATATATGTACCACATCTTCTTTATCCGTTCATCTGTTGATGGACATGTAGGTTGCTTCTATGTCTTGACTATTGTAAATAGTGCTGCTCTGAATATTGGAGTGCATTTAACTTTTCAAATTATGGTTTTCTCTGGATATATGCCCAGGAGTAGGATTGCAGGAATCACAACTCTATTTTTAGTTTTTTGAGGAACCTCCGTGCTGTTCTCCATAGTGGCTGTACCAATTTACATTCTCACCAACAGTGTAGCAGGGTTCCTTTTTCTCCACACCCTCTCCAGCATTTGTTATTTGTAGACATTTTAATGTTGAGCATTCTGACCAGTGTGAGGTGGTACCTCATTGTAGTTTTGATTTGCATTTCTCTAATAATTAGCAATGTTGAGCATCTTTTCATGTGCCTGTTGGCCATCTGTATAAGATTTTTCTTTCTTGATACAGGTGTGTAATGGGAAGAATAATTTAAAATTACTTCTCAATAGGTGTTCTTATGACTAAGCCAGTTTCTCTCCCTGAATCCCACCTGCCACCAATGTTAGGTCATGTGGCTTAGTGCCCCCAGGAACAATGACATAGGGGAAGTCCTACCCCATAAAAAGAAGCACTTTAGAGGAGGAGAGTGAGGACCAAAGAGGAAGGTAAAGACATCGGATGCCTGTGTCCTCACTTCTGCCTCCTGTTGGGATTATTCATGGAAAACGAGTGACTACAGTGTCAACAAAGCAGGTACTGAGATTAGTTACTTCCCAGGCACAGGAAGTAATATGTGCAGCAGTGGACACATTTTATGAGGGGAAAATCAGAGGGTTTTATGCACTAGAAAGGGAGGAGGCCATGGTACTTATGCTAATGCATGATTGGAAGCTTGTACTCTGGCAAAGTCAGAATGCATCCATTAACATGGAGCATGGTTGGTTAAAACCAGTCGTGTTGTTCATTTCCTGAGGGCTCGGGAAAGAGCCCTCAGTTGGGCCTAGTAAGGGTATGATGCACTGGGGTCTCTCAGAGTTCTTAGTTGTTTATCAGCTTTTCTTAGTGGTCATGATGGTGGTGAGTTTGCTAAAGGTCATGACTGTTTTAGAGCTTTAGGGGTTAAAACCAGTTGTGGTGAAACAAAGCAAATGCAGCTGTAAGAAGAAAATACTCTGTTCCTCCTTTACAAGGTGGAAGCTTGGGGAGTAGAACAGGTTGTGCTAGAAATATGCTGCTGGGAACGGGGAGCCTGAGAACACTGGGCCCTTTCCTCATCTATAGCTCCCGAGAGGCTGCAAGCCTCTGCAGGCCAAGGAGAAGCTGGCTTTGGCTTGGGAGCCATAGCATCTTGGCCTTGGGTTTGATCATGGTCTGAGGCAGAGCCTCCAGCTCCCTGCAGTCTGGTGTATGTGGACTCTTGCAGGCAATGATTGCACAGTGTCCCAAAAGGCCACAAGGGACCAGTTGTCCCCTGCAGATGCCAGGTCAGCGTCGGGCCAGACCAGCTACCTGCAAGGCGTAAGGCTGACCGTGTCAGCCATAGGCCTTCTTTCCCATCACCACAGGCCATTTTAGGGAGAGGAGATAAACAGAATTCTCTCTCTTTTAAAAAAGGAATGACCCAAAGACACTGTTTAAAAGGGAAGAAACTGACATATTGTTAATTGGCAAGTTTGTTTGTGCCCCTACTCCTCAATGGGGTATGAGCTTGGAGGAAGAATAGTTATAGGAAATAAAGAAGCTACATTTTTCTTAAAAAACTGAGTGGTAATGTGCAAATTTGCGATCCTGCTATATACATATAATTTAATATTTATATGGAAACATTTAAACCTAATGTTCCGTAATTTGGAAGAGAATAAACTGTTAAATTCCATGTAAGTGTCTTCATCACATATCACCATTCCTGCCTTCTGTCTAATCCCCTTATATGGCTATAAAACTGCAAACAAGCCTGCTTCCTCAGTCACCTATACATACTCCTCTTTCAACCCTAACTCAAGCTTCAGGTTGCTCAGGATCAAAGTCTCTGCTAGCTTTTTTCTTTACCCTAGAAATCTCCTTTCTCTTTGGTTTCTTCCTCTGAGCAACCAAGAAGGGCAAGAGACTGCATCCACCTCTTCACTAAAATCAGAATATTTTCTTCCCACAGGAAATATGCAAAGCACTCTCGCACGTGAAAAGAATAATAGGTGTGTAATTTGGGTCTCTCCACTCACAGAGGTTTCTCTGACACTTCCCCCACCAAGAGAGTGGCATGGAAGTGCCTTTTCCCCTCTTGTTTTTGTCATCTTAAACTGGAAATTGCATATGGCATGGTCTGTACGTAATAGGGTATTAGGTACTTACCTGGGTTTGCCTCAAACACGGCCTTCAACACTGCCTGCTCTCAATGAAGTACTTATACCAGGCACCATTCATTCAGATCCTTCAGAAATGGTTTCTTAATGAGATTTAAAGTTATTTTGAATAAGGATTTAGAGCATATTAAACTGTTTTCATTGCAATCTCACTAAGTAGAGGAATCTGCTTCCCATACTCTCTTCCTTTTTATATGTGTCTCCAGGTAATGGTACTTTGCAGGAACTAGGTCAACAGCAGTGCAACTCAGACTTGACTGACCCATGCAAATGTTGTTCTTTTAATGTGAGATGCCTTCCTGGTGTTTATCCAACTTAGAGCCGATTAAGTATCCCATTTTTAAAGAATCTCAAGAGAGAAGGATTCCATGGATTCCCCTGAGGTTTCAGGCTAGGGTTTCACACTCTCACACATTATTAGGAAGCTATTCCTAGTACTTTCCACCCAAATCACTCATGTGGCTCTTTACGACTCTCAGCTGGTCCTCAGCAGAGACGGAAAACAGCAGCTCCCCACCACCTGTGCCTGGAGCTCTTCCAACGTTCTGTAAGCCCATTAAATCATGTCTCAGCTTGTGAAATGAAGGCTTACAAAATGGGGTTTTCTTGACTAAACTTGGGGATTAAACCAGCTAAATGCTTGGAATCTTTTGGTAGCTATGGTGACCAGACATTGTGAATTGCAGTAACAATAGAAATATATTTATTGAGTACTTATGTGATAGGGGCCGTGCGAGCGCGGATGTTAGAGCCAGACAGTTATCGCGAGACCCCGAGCGCGGCCGGCAGTCAGCCTCGCAGTGGTCCTCCAGGCAGAGGGTGCGGTGAGAGGCGGATCGCGTCCTTCTCCCTCGGGCCCTCCAGGGCCTCTGGCTTCGGGCCAGGCGGGTGAAATGGGAGGCCCGGGGACAGGCTGAGGGCTGTGTCCCGCAGAGCTCTAGAGCCCTCTCCACGGCCGCCCACTGGCCAGGCCCAGGCCTGGAAGCAGCAGGCCAGAGAGCAGCAGCGAACCTCTCCCACATCCCCACCTCTGCGACCTAATGGTGGTGGCATCTCCATGGGTCACAGTCCGTGGAGGCTTCAGCAACTGGAATATATGGACACTGCCACTAAGGTAACAGCTTCAACCGGCTTCAGTCTCTCTGTTCAAGTTTCAAAAATTGGTCCAGCTGGGATCAGTTGTCTACCCCTAGGAGGTGGCCAGAGGTCAGGGCTAAGTTGCAAGGACATTGCACATTATTACTTTGGGTCCACCTCTGTGGTTGGCGCTATTCCCAAAGAGGGGCAGTTGTGAGCTGGGAGTTAACCTTACTGGTATTTGCTACACATATTCCTATTGATCCTAAGCAAATGATTCTTTCCAGTTTAAATGAAAAGCCTGAGGGACTTCCCTGGTGGTCCAGTGGGTAAGACTCTGTGCTCCCAGTGCAGGGGGCCTGGGTTCGATCCCTGATCGGGGAGCTAGATCCCTCA